ACATATAATAAAACATTAAACATAAAGGTATGTCTTTATGTCTGTGAGAAGATTCGCGCTTCGGGGAAAGATAATTGAACTATGGCGCAGTGGGTATGTGCAATAAGGCCACATTTTAAAATCACCACTCGCCCCCAGATAAGCTACTCTCCATTTGCTCCACAGTCAGAACAATACGAATCTCAGTATAAATATCTGCAACAAGTTAATGTTCTCATAAAAGCCGGTCACAATAGGCCCAGGGAACGAGCCCCACCCCCATTTTGAAATGTTTGCCACTGACCAAAAAAAAATATGAATGATCATGAATGAACTCCCATTGATCCGGCCTTGTCGCTTTCCTGACTTGCACTGTTATAGGCACAGGGAGCTATAAAAAGGAGATGCGTAATTAGAGCAGGATTGCTCATGTTGGCTACTTCACGTCTCCTATTAGCCAAGGAACTCATCTGCAATCATATACAAGCCATTTATTATGTTACTAATGCTGAAAAGCAAGCGATACAGTGAGTACATGTAACATATCAATTACTAAGTGGCATTTTAGTATAATAAAACGTACAAAATTCTAGTTGACACTCGAAGGAAAAGCAATTAACATGATAACGTAGAGTGAAGATTAATGATTTGTTCCTTACTTAGGTACATGTAAATGATTTTGTCAAGCATACTAATGTTTCAGAGTCATAGTTGCTTAATGTTTCCTACATGTAGAGGTCTCTAGTTGATTTCCTTTTATTGCAAAAGTTGCTTTGGCCGAGAGTTTACAAAAACCTTTGGGTCTACAATTTGAAAAAGTAACAATTTTCTTGGGTCTTCATGAAACTCTTTTCGTCTGCTTCACTCCAGGTCACGTTCTTCAATTGACAAAGCATCCCCGCTCGGCCTTGCTTGACCAGATTGAAGGAGCGGCATCGGGGTTCCAATCGGCAGGCCATACCGCACTCCATGACACCCGTTACCGGTATCTCGTTCAGGTTTTGACCGACCATACAGGCTGAGGCGAAGTGACCGTCGATATTGGTCAGAAGGCAGGCCGTGGGCACGGACGTGAGGATTGCAGGGAGTTGACAGACTGAGAAATGGATCCCGCCGCAGGGCCGGTCTCCCCATCGACCATCGGCTCCGTTGATCATTGCTGCGCAGTCGGCACCATTGTCGTTATCCGGCTGGTCGTCTTTCCAGTTCTCGTAGGCGCTTGAGCCGTCGCCCCTTAATGGGCAAGGACGCCATTTTCCCTCTTCCTCGATGTCATTGCAAGCGATCCATACGTGTTTAGGGACCCATCCGTGGAACATCTCCTGGAACATTCCCCATATTGCATCTTGTTCCATTTGAGACCTAGGCAAGGCTAGCTGAGCTTCCTTGTCGTCACATACTTGAATGGCGTCCCTCCAAGACAATCCCGTCGTTAAAGGCAAGTAGCAGATTTCACCACGTCGCCGCCAGTCTGCAGGACAGACTGCAGCTTGGCAGATACATGTATGTATTCCGAGCAAAAAGAGGACGAAGTTGTAGAAAATCATTTCTGTGTCTGTAAGTTGGCAGTTTGGGGACTGAATGAATGAGACTGACTTCGTGGTTTGGTGTCCACCTCTGTATCTGGCAGATTGTAACGCACCGTACCGACCGTGCTTTGACGGTATCTTGGCGAGTTGAGCACCGTAATTTAAATATGATACCGTAGTGTTGTTCGTGTACCACAAATTGCCTCTTGCCCAATATGATTATCAACACAACCATTTTTTGCTACGTACTAGTGAAAATCTCCAAGGCAACAAAGACAACGACTTGCTGTTTCCGTGGCAACGTCTCCCTCGAGATCAATCACATATATAGTAAGCTGAGGAAGTAAATTCGAGTGCTGCAACATGCCTGAATCATCAACGCTCCCACGTCAATACAGCTAGACGGCAATTCTGAAGGGATGTGTTTTCATTGACTTTTTAATGGTGACTTTCATTAGTTGGAGTTCTCATGTCTTTTTCCACCCATGATTAGTCAGCCATTTTGAAGTTTTGTTCTTTGACAATTCCATAGAAGCAGTCACTTTAAGTCACCATCCGTTAAGAATCCAGGCCATTTTCCTTCACCATGAGAAGTACAGATTCTTTTAGCATTTCACACTTCAATTCTTTTAACACCGGAAAGGCCACGTGTGGCTGTTAAACACCAAATTTTTAGGGACCCGCCCTCTAAAACCACACCAAAAAATCAGCGTGTTTGCGCGTGCTGAGACGTCTGCGTAGTTTGGGTATGGCGATTTCCTCTAAACAAAACTCAGGACCAAGGGCACCTTTATGTCTGTGAGAAGAGTCGCACTTTGGGGAAGATTATTCAACTATTGAGCAGTGGATAGGTACAATAAGGCCAAATTTTGAAATCACCACTCGCCCCTGGATAGGTTACCCGGGGAGTCGGGTTGGCAAGGCAGTTCCTTCCTCGCCTTCCACCTCTGCGGTCCCGGTTCGACTCCCGGCTCGGTCCACATGTGGATTGGATTTTCAGTCCCTACCTGACTCCATGGGTTTCACCCGAAATATTTTCTATCTGGGGTTTTCCTCCCATCTCTAAACCTGTAACTGCTTCTTATTATCTCCTCTTTACTGGTGTCGGCGAATGTGGGCCGTTTGGCAGCTGCCCGAGGCGCCCTTGTATGCCATCAGCTCAATTTGTTTAAATGTATTCATTGTTCCACGCTTAATGTCTTCGTTATACAGCGCATTTGAGCATGAAATTTGCGCTTTATAAATAAATAAATTGTTGTTATTATTATTGCTTTCCATTAGCTCTACATCTAAAACAATACGAAGCTTAATGTAAATATCGGCAACAGGTTTGATGCTGTGGTGAAAAGTGGTCACAATAGGCCTCGGGAACAAACCCACCCCTATTTAAAAATGGTTGACACGCCCCCCCCCAAAAAAATGGTATGAATGATAATAAATGAACTCAAGTTAATCGAGCCTTGAAGCATTTCTGCCTTGCACTTTACATCTCACTGTAAATATGCATAGGGAGTTTTAAAGAGGAGATGCGTAATTAAGGCAAGATTGGTCCCACGTCTCCGGTTAGCCAAGATACTCTGCCACTCATACACGACCCCTTTATTTTCAAATGACTGGAGGGGACAAGCAAACGATACAGTCGCCCAGTAATTGATAACAGACACTTGAAAGAAAAGCACTAATAACATGGTACCTGAAAATGGCGAG